TTTACTAAATTCCTCTTCCCCTTACACGACTGTCGTTCAAGAGTTTGACTGTTATTGCCAAAATATAATTTCAATTAGTTTTTTTCGAATTCCCTCACAGGGTTTTAGATTTTGAAACGTCGGTGGCTCTGTTAGGATTAGATAACTCAACAAGAGTTATTAACAAGTGGTTCTTAACTAATGATCAATACAGTAATCATAAAGTATACGCTAGGCTAGCAAGGGAGACTAGTATCACAAGAAACTAAAATTACAGAAGACACTTGTGTACAATATTTCCTCACAGGATCATATTTGCCTTCAACCGTTTCCTCTTATGATTTTCGCATTCCATGATTTTGATATTTTATATGAATATCTATGCGTTATTGCTGCCATTATGGAATATGAACATAATAAATGTAAATAGCGTGATATTGAACATTGTAGTTTTACAACATGGAGTGGCGTCGTCAAACTCGGTGAAATATGTTTTTCGCTAGTGTTTTGCATATCACTAGGGTGGCCGTGAAACTTCATTTTATATAATATTCAGAAATGGTTATAAAGTATATTTAACTTCAACCGCTTCTTCTTGTGAAAATTTCCATATAACAGAATTTTTTTCTTTCCGAATACTTTCAGTGAATTCTATCAAAAAATCTATGACTGCTACTCAAGAATTCGACCCCACCATTGACACCGAAACTGTTGCTCACACGTTTACGGTCGAAAATGAAAATTTGCAACACTCCGTATCGGTTGTTCACGAGCGTGGCCGCGGCTATGCGTGGAGAATCTGGCCAAGCGCTCACGTAAGAAGAAAAGCCGATTTTCTTTGATAAATTTTAATAGTTACTCACGAAATTTCTGGCGAAGGAATTGAAGAGCCGTAAAAATTGTCCGATCGATTTCATCGACATCGGATGCGGCGCCGGGCTGGTCGGACTAGCAGTAGCGGCGAGCGAGGGTAATGCACAGTGGGAAAATATTATATTGGAGTTTCACCTGTTTTACGTGAAGTGGCGTAAAACTCGGTGAAAAACGCGATATTCGCGGCCTGTAGTAGTCGTGAAATATGTTTTTCGCTAGTGTTTTCCATATCACTAGGGTGAAACTCCATTAGATTAACATTGTTGAGGTGGCTGCATATTACAACAACCCGTTTTACGAGAAGTAGTGATATGTCTTTTTCGTATCACTAGGGTGGTGAAACTACATTTTAGTAGTTTTTCGAAATCACGGAGAGGCGGTTTGATTAGTTGTTAAAGTGAAGTGGCCGTATTGTGGTAATATTCACTGTTAAACTCGGAAAATAGAAAATTTCAAACATATTGTTTTTGTGGAAAATGGAGTCTTGGAAGTGTTGGTGATGAGGAATAGGATATAATTATTCATTGGAGTTTCACCCGTTTTTGGCGAAGTGAAATGTGAAATGTGTTTTTCATATCACTAGGGTGAAACTCCAATATTAATATTTCATAATATTATACAATCAAGTTTCACGGCCACCCTAGTGCATATCACCGCGAGTATCGCCTAGTTTTTCACTGAGTTTTACGATGCCACTTCACTTTGTAAAACGGGTGGAACTCCAATATATGATATTAGTATTAAATATAAAATAAA